GGAATCAAACTCAGGACTTTGTGCTTGCCAGGCAGGCGCTTATGTCACTGAGCTATATCCCTGGCCCTCAGATTCCAGTTTTTTAAAGATGTACTCAGCCTTGAAAAGTAGCACCTACTGATCTGATTGTATAATAGAATTTTAACAATAATCTAGGAAAATATTCAACCCATAGTCATTCTTAGATGTACCAAGTTCATTAGATGCTTTGTATATGTCATACACTATGCCAACGACTGGGTGAGTCTAAAAGGAATTGGGATAGACTTAGACTATAAAAGATTAGTAAAACACAAGAATCTACAGATTAGCCGGGGAAATACCCACAAACACAGATAGTGTTTTAAATACAGGTGCTGCAGCTTTGGGAGTGTGGAAAGGAGGGACTGATCCCTGAGGCCTTGGAGAAAGCTCTGTCAAACTTATGGCATTTACCTCAGGTTGTGACAGATGTAGCTTTCAGGGAGGTGAAGAAAAGATAGGCTGTTCAAATCAGAGGTAGCATAGAGAAAAGAAGTGATGACATTCTTTGACAAGTGCATGGAATTTTAAGAACAAGTGGAAGAGGAATCTGATAAATAATGTTGAGGTTAGGTTATAGAATACCTAGATTAAAATAAGTAAAGACTTTATTTTCTAAGATAAATAAATATTTTTGGCGGTGTCTTACTACGTTTATTTTGCTTTTTCAGAGATAATTCTGACAACTACGTGGAGGAACCCACTTTAGAAGCAATTACAGAGCTTCAATTAAGGCATTGCCTAGTAAGAACCACGTCAACTCCACAGGTAGTTGAAACTTAGGTTGGTGCTAGAGGAATACTACCAGTGGCATCTGTCTTCTCTTTTTTCTGTTTTGTACTCAAATTTAGAAAAGCAAGTGTGAAAAACATTGATTCCTTCACTTACCAAATATTTATTGAGTGCCTCCAATAGTATGCCAGGCACTGTCCGTAGGTACTTGGGTACCTCAAAGACCAAGATTGCTCAACTGAAAATAACATGGCATCAGAGTGATAGTCCATAAATAATACATGAACTATACACTATTTTGTAAGGTGATAAGCATTACAGAAAAAAGAACAGATAAAAGGTATACAGAGTATAGAGGGAAAAGAAGAGTTTGTAATGTTAATAGGATGCTCAAGGAAGCCTTCATTGAAAAGGAGATTTGAGAAAATGTTGGAAGGAAGTAAAACAGTGCATTTCTTGGAGAAGAGCATTTCAGGAAGAGGGAACCACTGAAACAGAATCACTAGTGTAGGGAGCATCCCTCGCATGTCCTTGGAATGGAAAGGAGGGGAAAGCAAAGTGTGGGAGGAGGAGGAGGTATGTCGGGAGCATTGTAAAGAGTATGGTTTTGCACTTGGAGTGAATTGGCAAAGTTCTGCAAGACTTTGAGCATTGCAGTGAAAGGATCTGAGTTTATATTTGAAAGGGACTTCTTTGTCAGAGAAAGAAAACTGTCTTCTGAGTTGTTTTGGCTACTGCATTGGGAATAAACTGAACATGAGCAAATTGTTTTGAGTGTGATGATGAAAGGGCTAATCATACTTATCAGAAAATACTGATTTTTTTTTATGCAGCTCCTGAAAAGCATGTGTTGGTAATCTAAACCAAGTACCTTCGACAGGACTAGACATGATCTTATGAAAAGAAAACTTCCCATGTCAAAATCCCAATTAAATAGTCTGAGTCTCCTCTTCCATTACACACTTAGAAAGTTAAAGCAACATTAAGCTAGCAAGTAGTGAAAACAGAACTGTTTGTGGAAACACTGGTGTTGGTGCATAGCAGGACAATAATGAGTGTCAGTGAGTGCCAGGAATAGTTGCTAAAGGCACTTATCATCTTTGAAATTACTCATTTCACCATCCCTTTCACTGTTTTTGCCTTTTATACTCAACCTCTCAGAAGATGAAGAATTGCTCTCAGTTTTTATTTTGTGTTAATTGTAGCTCATTGCAACCTCTTCAAAATAATGATTTAGGAGCTCTTCCAAAGTTAGGAAGGCTAAGCCTTTATTTTTTAATTACTACTCAAACTTGGAATAGCTTCTTCAAATGTTGAAACAGAGCTCCTTTAAATATTTATTTGGATATCAGTTTTATGACTTTTTGTAGATTAGTTTTGTTTAAGTAATTTTATGCTTTCTTTGTCTGGGAAATCTTTTTCCATGTAAATTCAATACAGAATAAATTTGAAATAGCCCATAATTTTTTCCTTTTGTTCTAAATTCTTTCCCACTCATATAGTGATATCTTGTATTAAGCATAGCACAGACAGTATCCCATAAGCAGGGTATGAGCAAGGCTTAAAAGAAGGCAGGAGATTTGAAAGAGGAAAATGAAGATTCTAAAGAAGAAAGAGTAAAATACTGTCATACTATGTAGAAAAGCAACCAAGAGGTACTACTGTATGGTAATAGCATAGACTTTAGAATCTGACAAACCTGGGTTTTAGTCCATTCCCTTTTACTTACTAGCTATGAGATTGTATAATATGTTATTTGATTATTGTGCTTCATTTTCTGCATCACTAAAATAGGCTCCTTATAACACCTACCTCATCTCGTTGTTTGGAAAGCTACATTATCTAGCACATGTAAAGTGCCTCATATACAGTGAACTCTGATAATATGTTATAATGAAAAACCAAAAAAATCCAAAAAAGTCAGATTTGTCTTTTAAAATTTGTTCTTTCAACAAATAATTCTTGGAGCAACTGGATATCCCTGAAGGGGTAAAAAAAAAAAAAAAATCCTTCACCTCACACCATTTGTAAAAATAAGTTTAAGACAAATTATAAACATACATGTACAGAGAAGAGCATAGTTTCACTCATTTTTCCTGAAATGAAATCTGACTACAAATCTGTAATTATCAAAACAATGTGCTACCCACATAAAATGAATACATAGACAAATGGAATTCAATTGAGAATCCAGAAATAAACCCACTTACCTGTGGTCAGGTGATTTTTGACCAGGGTGTTAAGGCCACTCAGTTGAGAAAAAAAAATACTTAAATGATGCCAAGACAATTGTGTATCCACATGCAAAAGAATAAATTTAGGTCTGTAGACCTTTGAAGAGCTATAAAACTCTTTTAATAAAACATTGGTTTTGGCAGTGGATTCTAAGATATGACACCAAAAGGATGAGCAACAACAACAAAATTGATAAATAAGACTTCAGCAGAATTAAAAACTTTTGTGCATCCAAATGAAAGATCAAAAAGTAGAAATTTTAATATATAGAATGAGATAATATATTTGCACATCAAATATAGTGGTACCTCAGTATCCAGGTGAATTAGTTCGAGGAGCAGGGGCTGGGGACTTAGCTCGGCAGTACAGCACCTGCCTGGCAAGCACAAGGTCACGAGTTCAATTCCTGGTACCGGAAAAAAAACAAGCAAACAAAAAACAATTAGTTCGAGGAGCCCCTTGTAGATATGAAATTCCACTGGTGCATAAGCTGCTCATATAAAATGGTGTAGTATTTGAATATACCCTTCACACACCACCCATAAACTTTAAATCATCTCTGGGGTTATCTATAACTAATACAGTAGAAATAATTGTTATGCTGCATTGTTTAAGGAATAATAACAAGATAAAGGAGTCCAAACATGTTCAGTACAGATGCACTTTGTTCCCGCATATTTTCAATCCATAGTTAGTTGGATCCACAAATGTGGAAATCACTGGTAAGAGGGCCTAACTGTTCTTTAATAAGGGTCTAATATATAGAATAGTATAAGAAGAGCTCTTACAACTTGACAACAGCAAAACTAACAATCCAGTTTTAAAAAGAACGAATTACTTGAATAGACATTTCTCCAAAGAAGATTTACAAATGAGCAACATCTCTTACTATTCCCAACTGGATTCTTTACATTCCCATAATACCAAACTGCTTGTATTCCCCCAATACACTGTAGTTTTTACCACCACCTCCTTCAGCTTGTTAATTCTTTTGAGGTATCAAGACTCATTCCAGGGACTGCCTTCCTTTGGAAACACCACGTGCTGCCAGTGTGCTTCATTTCTCCTGGATGGAGTGGTCATCCTCCATGCCCTACACCCATGTCATTAATATTATACACATCCTTGCAGCTGACCACACTTAATGGAAACTCTACTGCAAAGACAGGGACTATATCTTACTTTTCCTTGTATATAGCATGTACAACCACAAATTACACTTGAATAAAGTTCTAAGTTTTTCGTTTTACTTTCAGGTGATGACTCCTGGTGATGGCTTGCAGGGTCATAAACAAAAGAAGGCATATGGGACTTCAGCAGCTTTCCTCATTTGCAGAAACAGGAAGAACATTGCTAGGCCCAGTAAAATCATCAAAATTTATTACCAATGAAGACTGTCACGAAAGTGTGTTAATCAGTTCAACAGTAAGGCTCCTTGAAAGTTTAGATATGACCAGTGCCGTGGGCCAGCTTCTCAATGAAGCAGTTCAAGCACAGAATGACACATACAGAACCGGAGCCACTACTCTTTTGTTCCTTGCTGGTGCGTGGAGCAGTGCTGTTGAAGAATGTCTCCATCTGGGTGTCCCCATTTCTATAATAGTGTCAGTCATGTCGGAAGGCTTGAACTCTTGTAGTGAAGAGGTAGTTTCCCTTCAGGTACCTGTCCACAATATATTTGACCATATGGACAGTACAGAGGCAATTTCTGCACTTGAGACAGTTAGTGTCAGTTTGTGTCCTTTTCTACAAGACCCTTCAGGTGCGAGTTCAATGCAGGAAAAGCACGATCTCAAAGATGTTGCACTTCAGTTAACCACTTCGAGTATTTCTGGGAGATCTGGTAAATCACCTAAGTTCTTCAAACCTCAGGCTAAAGTTGAAGCAGGTGAAAACACATCACAAACTCTGAAAAAGAGTCTGCATACAGATACCTGCTTCAGAAAATCAGTACTCACCCACAGTAGGCATTTTAGCAGGACAGATAACAGTCAATGGATATGCAAAGCAGATAGATTTCTGGAACAAGGTGGTGCCACTACTTTGCAGACTTCCGGATGTCATGATTTGGCTGAGCTGGCGGTAGGCTTGAGTCATGGGGATGGGAGCAGCATGAAACTGGTAGAAGAAGCTGTACGCCTGCAGTATCACAATGCGTGTCGGCAACCAGGCAGCTGTGTAGAGCCGTTTGTGTTTGACGTTTCAAGACTCTTCACTTTCTGTCTACCGGGCTTACCTGAAACCTTTTCTTGTGTTTGTCCAGGATATATCACTCTGGTATCAACATCTAGTGCTGCTCTGATCCAGGAATTGCAGAGTCAGCCTGTCCGGGTAGTTCTCATTGAGGGTGACCTTACAGAGAGTTATCGCCACCTGGGATTTAATAAGCCTACAAATATTAAAACAGTGCTAGATAGCATGAATCTGCAAGAAGACAGCCCAGGAGAAGTGTGGGCAAATCATGTACTACAGCTGTTAACCCAGTTCAGTGTGAATCTCGTCCTGGTAGAAGGCAACGTATCTGAACACTTGACTGAAAAGTGCAGGCGCAGTAATCGGCTCATTGTGGGGTCAGTGAATGGCCATGTGATTCAGGCTTTCGCAGAGGCTACAGGAGCAGTGCGGGTGGCGTATATCACACAAGTGAATGAAGACTGTGTGGGCAGTGGGGTGTCTGTGACCTTTTGGAGAAGCCCCTTGGATGATGTAGAGAGGAGCAATAGAATGGCAATCTTATTAAAAACAGAAGGAATTGATTTGATTACAGTGGTGCTCACTAGCCCAGTCAGTGCGCAGATGCAGACCAAAGAAGATAGGTTCTGGACTTGTGCATATCGTGTCTATCATGCCCTAAAAGAGGAGAAGGTCTTCCTTGGAGGCAGCGCAGTTGAATTTTTGTGTCTTAGCCATCTTCACGTTCTTGCTGAGCAGCCTCTGCGAAAAAGAGACCACGCCTATTTGGGATGGCTTCCTGATACTTCCTCTTGGCTAGCCTCATCTCTGGCAGTCTACAGACCAACTGTGCTTAAGTGCCTGGCGAATGGATGGCACAAATACCTCTCTGCTCTTCTATACAACACTGCCACTTACTCATCAGAATTGGAAGCCAGCACGTTCATTCAGCATCACCTACGAAATGCTATAGACTCTGGCTGCCCTTCATCTTATATCTTGAAAGAACATAGTAAACTAAATAGTGGAATATTTAACTCAGGCATTTTGAATAAACTGGAGCAAATTCCAAGAGTTTATGATGTTGTTACACCAAAGATTGAGGCGTGGCGCCGAGCACTGGATTTAGTACTCTTAGTGCTGCAGACAGACAGTGAAATTATCACTGGACTTGGACACGCACACATAAATTCACAGAAATTAGAGGGTTTCTTATTTTTGTAACGTTATTGGCTAAGTCTGTCAAAAATAATATTTTGTAATAGATCAGAGGAATAATAAATTTATTAATAGTAAAGTCATAGTGCCTAAAATGCTAGCTACTTACCAAGAAGAAAATAATTGACGTCTGTCAATAACTGTGCAGGGTCTGAGAATTTACCTTACTTGTAAACTAACAAATTAGTCTGTTGCTATTTCATGGGATTCTACGTAAGATGCATAAGACACCTAAGTGAGAGGCAGATGCCTTTTATTACTCAACAGAAGCTGTGTCAAGAGCTTTATGTTGGTTTTCATTAATTCCCTGTTTGGGTCCTACAAGGGCAACACAAAGCGTCAGTGAGAACCTGCAAAGTGGATTGTGTTGGTGGGGATGAACCTTGAGCTTGAAATAGTCACTGCTTGTTAATAAGCACAAACAGTGCTGCTGCTTTGTCTAGCAGGAGCTGTTATCACGTACTTCAAGGAGACCTTGTGTGAACACAAGCCTTGGACATAGATTAGATAAAAATGAGTCAAGTCCTTGCATTCTTGGCATGCCCAATTATCAGGGACCCCTGCAGTGAGTCTCCAATTCCCTGCAAGGTGTTATGGTGCACAGTGAAAAGAGAGAAAATGACAATGCAGTGGGGATCTGGGATGACCAGTTTTTCACGGAGAACAAAAGACCACAAGGCAGCCAGAACTCGGTATTTACTGATCACATTCACACTGAGGAAGATGGTAAGGGGGTTAGGGCTGGATGTGCTAGATAAGTGGCTAGGCAGGGAAGGCTTGTAAAGAAGGGACAAAGCATTCCTGCAAGGGTGAGACAAGGGTAGTAAGGAAACTGTAGTTTCCCCAGGTGAAACTTTTTACTACTGCTACTGCACTGCTTTAAGATCTTTGTCATCCTTAGTGCCACAGCATCACTCAACATAGGTTTCAGCTGTGACCAGAAGAAAGAAGGGAGTTTCCTCATTGCAGGGGAGTTTCCTCCTCCTAATCTGGCTCAAAAGGCAGGACACGGCCCGGAGTGATGGCGCACACCTGTAATCCCAGCACTGGGGAGGCTGAGGCAGGAAGATCTTTGGGAGTTCAAGGCCAGCCTGTGCTACAAAGAGCTCAAGGCCAGCCTGAACTGCACAGTAAGACCCTGTCTCAAAAAGACAAGACCAAAAAAAAAATAAAAAAATAAAAAAAAAAAAAAAAAAAAAAAATGGCAGGACAAGGATGGCCTCCGATGTCTTCCAGACTCAATTTATAATTTGTGATCCCCAGTATCTAATTAGTGTACAGTGGTGCTCAGACACTGAGGTGATAACCTCTTCCAGCAACCCATGTCATTTCTATCAGGATGGAGTTGGAATAAGGTCACTGAAAATAAATGTAATCTTAAAGACAGGGTCCTTAACTCTTAGGAAACATAGGTAGAAAATCTTTCCTACCAGACTGTGTTGGTTATTTTTCTTTCATTGCTGAGACAAAATACCCGACACCCAAAATTAAGGAAGAAAAGGTTTATTTAGCTCACAGTTTGTGGAGGTTTCAGCCTGTAATCAGCTGGCTCCAAGGTGCGCTGCTTTGGCACAGAGGCAACAGTTCAAGGTGGCAGAAGACAGCAAAAGCGACAAGAGCAAAAAGTGGGGAGAGCAAGCCTCTTTTCCTCCCTTATACTGTAAGCAGGCTACCCACGCCAGGGCGGGTGTAGCACTCACATTATCTCCCTGCCCTCCTCTTGCGCAGGCTGAGGATGTTTACAAGTGAGGACCCTGGGCCCCTGCTGAATCACTTAAACTTCTAGACTTCTCAGGTTGACACAATGAATCGAACGTTACACAGACTCAACTTTGATAACCAGAGAAAGCTACACAGGCTACATTTTAGCCCGGAATTTATAGCAGAGAGCCCTGGAATAATGAAACTCAAAAACTGACCCTGGCCCATCCTCATCTCCACAGTCCTCCGTTCTTTTGATGGGATCCACAAAAATCTCTGTGCATGGATTGAACATGGGGGAAAAGAGAAGCCAGTTCGTCACCAGATAAAGAGTGTAAGCAAAGATGAAAACACTGCCTGAGCCTTCTTTGCTGCCATAAGAAAATATCAGACTGGGTAATTTAATAAGAATAAAAACTTTTATCTCAGTTGTGATGGCCCGGAAGTCCAAGGTCAAGGTGCCACTATCACCTGGTGTGAGCCTTCTTACTGTGTCCTCATGTGGTGGAAAAAAGGTAGACAGCCAAGAGCGAGTGAACCCACTCTAGCAAGCCCCTTTACGGTGACATCAATCACTCCTAAACAGCTCTCAAAAGGCCCCGCCTCCCAACACTGTTATACTAGGGATTAAGTTTCCCACACAAGAATTTCTGGAGGGGCTGAAAACCTTCAGTCTGTCCTCTAACCGGGACTCCCAGCCGCACCCCACCTGCCCTGCAGAGAAGGAAGGTGAGTCCAGCTGGAAGCCCAGCCAGCCTCTGGTCTCCGAACAGGCAAGGACGGCACTGAGAAGCCAGGCCGGGCAGACCCCAGTGGCCGCCGGCGAGTGCAAAGGACCCTGCGAAGTGCCTGCACCTAAGAGGCCCTCTGGACAGCTACGTTGGGTTTTGTTCAGTGTTTCCTTCTTAGACGTTTGACAGTGCTGCTGCCACCAGCGCCACACGTTTATCGTCATGACCTTCTCGCCCTGCCCTGTTCCCTCCCGCGGGGACCGAGCACCCCAGTCCCAGGGAAGGTGGGGCGCTGCCCCTAGGACGCTGCTGCAGCAGGGTGAGGAGGGGCTCATGTCACCAGGGAAGGGTGTAGGGCCCACCAGCTCCCCCTGTTACTCGCCCCAGTCTGAGGCTCCCCTTCTGGTTTCTTACTTGCAGTTATTGGTATGAGAATATATCCTTTTCTGGGAAAACAAAGTGAAATAAAATAAAAATATTCAAACTATAGCACAAACCAAATAATATTCCAATAGATAATGAAAATTCACGGGGTAGGGAGGGGGGCAGTTACACAGCAGGTGAAAATTGTGTTTCAAATGAATTAAATCGCTTAGATTGAAGTTTCTGGAAGGACAGCACAAGTTTAAAATGATATCAAAAATTAAATGGCAAAGGAAAGGTCATGAAATGAGAACTCATACAACTTAGAAAAGAAGTGGCGGCTGCCGCCAAGCAACATTTGTACTAAATTACAAGTGTAGAGGGACAAATAGACTCCATGGAAAATACAATCAGACAAGTAGTTTCATTCCCAGGAACCCGGTAAAAGAATTTCCGCTTTCACCAACTCTTCCAAAATTCCAACAGAGGGGCTGGGGATTTAGCTCAGTGGCAAAAGCGCCTGCCTGGCAAGCACAAGTTTGTGAGTTCAATTCCTGGTACCAGAAGAAAAACAAAACAAACAAACAAACAAAAAAGAAGTCCAAAAAAAAAAAAATTCCAACAGAGATCTTCATTATACCGTTTTTTTGGAAATGATTATTTTAATGGCCAGACTTTACAAAGGATGACTGTCCTGTATAAAGCATGGGCAAATCTTACATTAGAGCCACCTCTGGAAACTTGAAACCATTCAGCTTAGGGACAGTTCTTGGTTCACTAGTTCATACCGTTGCTCTACTCTAAAAGACTTCATCAAATGGAGAGAAGGCAGTGGTGGAGTGGTGTAGTCCAGGGTCTTGCAGGGTGGAAGTGCCTTGATGTCAGCATCACATGGCAGGGTTTCCATAATCCCAGCTCTGCAAACCACAGATTCTTGTCCAGACAGCAGAAAGTAACCATTAGGAGGACTAACCCATACTAGCCAAACTCTCAGAAGCCAAAGTACACCAAGAGCTAATTTCACATATTTATAATGTAACAGAAGACCAGGATACACAGATTCGAACTGAGCCCAGAATTTCCCTCTGTGTAGGAATTTCTTTAGGAAACTAGGAACATTGTTTTTATTAAGGCTGGAATCAAATCCATGGGGCTTCTCTGATACAACCAGTGGTCACTCTCTTCAGGAGGTCCATTAGCCAGGAAGGAGAACTCTGGTCAGTTCTGTTGCACACCGTTCAGACATACAGCCTGCCCTTTGGAGGTGACACGGCATAGTTCCCTTGAATGACTTACAGCTCCTATTTGGGAGATATCTTCCCCAAAGTGACACAGTAACTACATTCATTCATTTCGTATTTGTTTAGTCTCAGAGAATAATGTCTCTCCAGGTTCTGGGAGCAATGGATTGCAGTGTCCTATGGCATCTAAAGGTGCCTCATTCTGCGATAATGAATGACAGTAGGAGCTATGAACTTCCAAAATTCTGGACTTAGATTTAGGAGAACTTTGTTCAGATTCTGCCTTCTCTGCCCCCTTGTGACCTTGCACAGGTCACTTCAATTCTTTTAGTCTGTTTCCTTTTATCTGCAAGATATATTCTGAAAATAGTTGGAGATTTCAATGACACATGACAAACCTAACTCAATAAATATTAACTGGACGCTCATATCGAGGTGAGGCAGGCATTTGGGACACTGTTATGAATCAACTGAATTTTTTTTTTTTTTGGTTTTTCTCTGGTACCGGGAATTGAACTCACGACCTTGCACTTGCCAGGCAGGCGCTGTGCCACTGAGCTAAATCCCCAGCCCTCAACTGAATTTTTACTTGCTCTATCTTCTGTTAGTAAAACCATTTGAAATTTTAAAAATGTAACTTGTAGGAGTACTGTCACAGGAAAATGCATGGACCTGGAGATCATCATGTTAAAGAAAATAAGCCAGACTCAGGAAGACAAGTATCTCACGATTTTCCTTGTTTTTTTTGTTTTTGTTTTTGTTTTTGTTTTTGTTTTTTTTCCCGATACCAGGGATCGAACTCCCGACCTTGTGCTTGCCGGGCAGGAGCTGTGCTGCTGAGCTAAAGCCCCAGCCCCTCATGTTTTTCCAAATATGCGGAATCTGAAAAAAGATGGCAAGAAAGTAGAAGAGAGATTGTGGTTAGACAAGAGGAAGGCAATAAAAGGAATGAGGATGTGAAGGCGGTAATGAGGGATGCGTGTGGTCAAAATATAGGCATGTATGAAAATACCACATTGAAACAGAATAAATTGTAAAATTATAGGAGCTAAAATATGTTGAAAGAATATTCCTAAATAATGTTATGAAAACAGAAATGAGAGTATTATATTATTATACATACATTACCACTTTATTTAACCATCAAAATTCTTGACAGCTATGAATATATAAGTTGTTTCTTATTTTAGTTCTGTGTTTTTCATACTTTATGGTATATGGTAGTTTTATGATTTGATGAATATTTGATAAAAATACCAATAAAAATACATTGAGTTGTTTGAACAGATATAATTTTGGTGTTTGTGTCACATTTAAGCAATCTTTTTTAATGCAAATTTGTAAAGATCATCTATGGGTTCTCATAGGTTTCATTTTCAATAGAGTACATTTTATTAGGGTGTAATGTATGGACTAAAGTTCATCTTTTTTGCCAGGAAGAAAAGAATTCTTTCAAAATCCATGACTATTTCTCAAGTAAGTCTTTGAAAATCTAGTTTCTTTGTTATTTTCACCTTTGGCCATTTAGTACTATTGTGGAGCTTTTAAAACTGTTTCACATTGACCCCTGGGATATCAAAATCCACATTTTGAATGTAGCAGTCATGCCAAATTGCCCAGGCTCCTTGCGACTCTCCATCAAGGCTCTTAGATCATGTTGTATAAGCTCCTGTCCTGCATTTGCCTTTATCTTTGGTCCATTTTATTGCATGTCCTGTGGTACCTCCATTCTTCCTGAGTACCTTTATTTATTGCCTCAGAGCCAGACTGTGTTCCATTTTGTTTTTAGTGATGGATTGCTTTTTTCTCTTCATATACTTACAGTTCCACCCTGAGCTACTTGGACACATTCATCTTTAATTCTTTCTATTACTCTTCAAGAACATTTTTAGAGGAAACTTTTGGTCCCTTTCTCCCCCAACACAAACACTAATGTAACCATTATTAATATTGGGGTTATGGCTTTTCAAAATTCCTTCTTGGTGTGTGGATATAGATGTACTTTTATGATCCAAAAGTAGGATCATCAAATACACTGCCATGCAATC